TTTAATTAGACAATTTTATAGGTTCTAATTGAATGAAATTTGGTTCCGTTGCTCCAAAATTTTAGAAAATCTTTTGATTTTCATAATATAACATTTGGCTAAACTCAAATATGAACCCTAACCCATTCCGTTACCTGTGCAAACGGCAATGCTTGTCCAAATCCACCATAATGCCTGCCAAGGCCTAAATCCAAAATTCATAGTTTGAGAAGATAACTCGTTAGTTTTTTCTATCCTAACTCTCTCTCTCCTTTTTCTTTTTATTTTGTAGAGCATTTGAAATAGGGCCTCCTTTTCTGTCTTTTTTATGATTCCATAGCGAGTTTGTTGACTTTTATAGAGCTTGTTTGGGACTGATTTTTCACTCCAAAAAATTGATTTTTCGACCGTTATTTCACTATTCCAACTGTAAAGTTTGACTTCTTCTCTCACAGATGGTCTCCACTTTTCTTCTAACGATCACAAAATCAATTCTCAAAAATCACTCTTAAACGGGGCCATAGTAAGACGTCAATTGCAAACTAATGACATAAGCATGCTTACGTACAACAAGTGGTCCTTAAACAATATTAACCCCACCAAGAAAATTGAAAATTGAAATTTTGAGTCATAATTAACACAATTCGTGGACTCCACGCAATTTACGAAGAGGAATGTCATATGTAATTTCATTCTCGTACACTGCTTGCTTCCGCGACATTATTCACATTTCCCCTTTATAAAACCACACATGTTGCACACGTTATTCATCTTCATCCCAAAAAAGCATCTCTCTATGGAGAACCTTAGTGATGAGTACACACTCGATTGTGAAACGAATACGTTCCTCCAAGCTGAAGAACTTCAACGGTAATATTTTCTCTTCACTTAACACGTGCATTCACGTTTGTTGTCATGTGTTCCATGTAATCCTGAACCCAAACACGAATTCTGGGTTGTGTTTTATGTTCGTGTCTATGGAAATGGAATATTGAGACTGATTTGATCTTAGCAGTTATTTGGATGAAGCAATTCCTACACACAATGCAAGCTCTCAAGATGGAACACAATCATCACTGATGGCCAACAAAAGCATTGCTTCAGAGAGGAATAGAAGGAAGAAACTTAATGAAAGGCTCTATTCACTAAGATCAGTAGTTCCCAATATTACCAAGGTATAACAAATATGTGTTCCATTCATTATTTATTCCACCAGAAAAAAACCAAAAGAAGTTATTAAAGAAGAATTATCAGATATGTTTGTGTTGAACCATATAAAAGATTATGTCGTTATTAAAGGGTCTATGTTCCGAACCCAAGATCCAAGGGTTACTGAGGAATCCTATTCCCATTATTAAATTATAAAAAATATAAATGAATGCAAGATAATTGAGTAGTTCTTTTGAATTTCCAGATCGAAATGTGCGGACAAAAAAGTGACTTGTTTGTTTATAAGCAGTTTAAATTCATGAGCTAGGCTAAATTTCATTGAAAATCATTGATCTGCCGTTTCTTTGAAAAATCAGATGCATAAGGAATCCATAGTCAAAGATGCCGTCGATTATATTCAAAAATTGCACGAAGAAGAGAGAAAAATTCAAGCAGAAATATCAGATTTGGAATCTGCAGGGTCGTCGTCAAAAAGTACAATTTCTTCACCACCCCCAAAGAGAATAGCAAGTGAAAGCTCCTATGATTCTGGAGGATTGAGATCATATCCCATTGAAGTTCTTGAGGTGGACTAATTCTTATTTCTTAATCAGTGTTATCAATTAATTTGTTGTTATGTTTGGTTAATTGATGAAATAGTTACTATTTCTTAGTTGAGAGGATCCAGCATGGGAGAGAAGACAGTTGTAGTTAGCCTCACATGCAGCAAAAGATCAAATACAATGGTAAAGCTATGTGAGATGTTTGAATCTTTGAAACTCGAAATCATCAGTGAAAACATCACTGCTTACTCCGATAGGGTTTAGAAAACTGTGTTTGTTCAGGTCATTCCTCTCTCTCTCTCTCTCTCTCTCAACACACACACGAATCTTTCTCTGATAGGGTTGTTTATATACGCATTGTAAAAAATATTGTTTCTTTAAAACAATTAAATACAAAAATGTAAATTGTTATTGAAATCTTTAGTATGCATACTAAAGAGTATCTGAAATTTTTTTTTACTCTTTTTTCAGGCTGATGAGAAGGAGAAGGATCTTCTGAAGATTAAAATAGAAACAGCCATAGCAGCCCTAAATGCTGCATAAAACGATAATAGGGAAAGTATGTTGTCATAATGTATTAACATATTTGTCACCATAAGTACTTTTTTTATTATAAGTCTAAAAAATTTACTTATAAGTTTGCTTATAAGTAAATTAGCATAAGTTCTTAAAATAAATAAGGGCCTTGTCTCCATCCTACAAACAAGGTGATATTGCTTGGGAGTTTCTTTTTAAGGATATTCAATTTCCCTTCACAGTTGATGTAATTTGAGATTTTAAAATATGTTTGATTTCCTTTTACTTGATATTGCGAATTCGCAAGAATATGAAATTCACGTACAATTTTCTAGGTTCCATTTATTTACTCATGCATTCAATAAATTAAGCATCAAACACTTGACAATTCATAAAAAATAAAAATAAAAAAATTGGACACGTAATTGAGAATCAAAAGAATTAGATCTCCTATTTTGAAACTTAAACTCAAAAATATAAATAAATAAATAAAACATGTTCATGTTGGTCATGATCCACCGACTCTGAAGAGGAAGAGGAAAACATTGAAAGTATAGGAACAAAATGTGAGCCTCAACAATTTAACTTTTGGAAGGTTACTCAAGATAACATAACACAGTTAAACCTCTAAGAATTAATCTTGGGGATCAATAATAAAAAAAAAAAAAAATTTAGTGAATATTAAATAATCAATAAATTAATAATTTATCAATATATCAATTACTTATTTACTTATTGAGGTATTCCATGTACGTGTGTTGATTGATTGATAGATTAAATTTGACATTAATTTATCTTATCTTGATTGAATCGGGATAATAATTCGTATTAGATGAGATCCTGAAGTTGATTTTGATATCAAATATATGAAATCTTTAATGATCGAAGCGAAAATATTTCTAGTCATTTGTCGATCAATAATTCAACTATATAAATGTTTCTAGCCATTTGTCGATCAAAAGTATTCCTATAATACTTGTGTATGAGAGAATTCTTCTAACCTATCCATTTGAAATCCGTATATATCCATGTATTATATAATAACCTGTGTGTTGGGTATTATTGATCCCGAATAAACGTCGAAACGATGATGTAATGGTCAGGACGATTAACTCAAGGCTTTAAGCACACGATTGAGTATAATATTGAAAAGAGACCTAGAATTATATTGGTAGCCAAAGAATCAAAGATGAACCGAGAACCTAACATAAGAACCCGATCCATTTATTATTATAGTTAAATTAATTTGTATCTAACTATCGATTAGATTTAACATATTTTGTTGGTTTAATTGATAGGTGATATAACTTTTTTCACTACAGTGTGGAACATATCATAAAAAAAAATGTTAATATGTGTCAAAATAATATTAAATATGTCTTCAAATTGATTTATTAAAGTTCGTACTTGCCAATAACATCCAAAAATATCATATTATCACATGACTATTAGAATTGCGGCTCGAAATAAAATTATAAAACACGTGCAGAACAACTGCACACAACAATTCCAATTTGTCTTAGATCAAAGATATTTATGCGGTGATAGAGACAAACTATATGCCTGTTTGGTATTCATTTTATAACATTTTAAGAACGTTTTTTTCCCTTTGGAACAGTAAGTGGACCCATATACAGTCATTTTTTTTCTCAACAATGTGGAAATTCTTGAGTGTCTACTTATTTAATAAATGTGAAAAGGGTAGAAAAGGTAATTCCGCTTCCGATAGACAATAAATGTACGTGCATCCTTACCAGTTGGAATCTTTCTAAAAATGAAAAACAAAAGATATTTATTTTAGAAGTAATTCTTGTATGATCGGAAATGATCACCTAAGCACGACATGACATCCCATTTAACTGGTGAATAAGTTAATAGTAGGTCCTATATATTTAATAATTCACAAATTAAATGATGTGTCATGTCACTATTGCTTAATATGAGCTAAGCACGGTGTTTAGATGATCATTCCTATTTGTATGACTATCAAAATAAATAACTCATTTATTTTCAAATTTGATCGACAAAATTATTTATTTCAAAATTTACTTATAAGAAAACAAGCTAAGCCAAACGGTGCTCTAGCTGTTGTCCGAAACCTTCGACGTTATCTAGATTCACAAGGACTCTCGTTGTAAATTGACTTTTCAAGGAAAACTGGTTCAATTTTTGTGTCCGGTCTTATGGTCAAGAACATGTGTAAACAAGTTGACTATGACTCGCCGCAAAACATAGACAAAAACAGTACACAACATACTCAATGCAGCCACATGCATGCTGAGTTAGAAAGGTTCATCGATTTTGTTGTCGAATATTAGTACGTAAATTAAAAGGGTATTTGGGAGATATTTTTATGTAGAAATGTATTTTTGAATAGTAAATTGATGGAAATGTGTGGTTGAAAAATAAGAAAAAGTTTTTGTTTTACGTGTAATACTATTTTAATAAAAAATGTGTGGTTGAAAAGAAAAGAGAGAAAATACATTTTGAAAAAAAAAAATACGTACCAAACGGGGTCTAAATAAAGCACTGTTTGAGCCTTATTTTTTGGAATAAAATGATTTTGTATAGTTATCTGGAAAAAAAAATAACTAGTCGGAGTTGAATGTGAATTGTACATTATTTTGAAATATTTTATGTGTTGTAAAACTAATATTTGATATCAATTTGTTGAGAGGATTTGATAAGTTTCAAACGAACTAAAGAAAATAGAACTCAATTTCTATTATTCAAATTTTTTGTGATGATGAAATATAACAAATGAACAACATTTTTATACTATATTTGATACATAGAAACTAATTGTTAATACGTGGATTTAAACATTCATTTCATAGATGTATGAATAGAAATAAATTCATCTATAATAACACTAGATTCATGTCGATTGAGATTTATCAAGTCAAGATTCATTGAATCTAGATTAATGTGAATGTTAATTAATTGAAAATTAATAACACGAAATACATATGTGACAAGGACTTTGTAGTATTTATTATATATTGAAAAGTTAAAAGTAAGATATTATTGAAATAATTGAATTATAGTAACGGTTAAATTGTCCAAAAAATGATGGTTAAAAGTAGAAAAAGCTTTGGATTACATGTAAAATTATTTTATGAAAAAATCTATGGTTGAAATTGAGTTTATAGAAAAATGATTTTTTGAAAATGGGATTGAAACAGATAAAAATAAAACTCGCATTTGTTTGAATAGAATAATTTCATACTGTTTTCTTAAGATAAATATGTTCCTCTATTGTTGGTAGATTCGAGCAATTGTCTCCTGATAAAAAAGTTTTTGTTTCCGTAGAATAATACTTGAATTTGATAGGAATCGATAGATATAACTTATTGATTATAAAAACTAATCTTCGAGCATCATAGTTATTCGAATAATGTTATTCGCTATATCCACCTGCCATGTGTATGGGACATATGATGATTTCCGTAGTGAACAATTGCGAATAGTATCACTCTATTTATTCGGATAGAATATTAATGAAATATTAATGCATGAAATTACTCTCTTACCAGACCTTATCACCTTCCTTGGCCGGTGCTAACGTTCATGTCCAAGCTTATCTCTTCCTTATAAAACTTGACTCTCATCGGGGTCTAAACCTAAAACAACGATGTTGTACTGATCGAAAATGCTTGATAGAAGTCCTGACCGAACACTCACAATAGGGGGTGGGGCCACGTTTTTTGGATTTTTTAGTCATGCAAGTCCACGCGTATGTGAGAGGATGTCAAGACATTTTCGGTCAACTGAGCGTAATTGAACCTAAAAAATTCATACTTTTGAAACCTAACAATTCTCTTTCTGAATCCTTTAATTAATGTACGTCTTTCTTTAATTCCTTTTGTAAGTTTTTGTTGATTGACTAGCGATTACATTAGGTATGCATATATCCATCTAATGCATCAACGTCAAGTTGCACACTGCTGTTGTATTTAGAAAAATATTTGTGTTGTAATTTGTAAATCGAACACAAGAAGAAAACCATAACAAATCAGAAAACACAAGATTTTTCCGCCCAACGGCCCTGAGGTTCGGCGACCGCTTCAAATGCCTAATCCCCGTTGAGCATCCGATTGGATTAAGCTCAAAATCCACTATGAACTGCCCAAAATATGCATAAATCAGATTAAAAGAACACACGGTACCAACTCTCTCGCAATCACTGAATCTTCTCACTCAAGAGTTCACTATAACACCAACTATACTCTCAAAAATCACTCAAGAAATGAGAGAGTTTCCATATTATACAGAGAAGATGAAGAACAAGAGAGAAGCAGCTAGGGATGTCAATTGGGCCGAGCCGACTAGTCAAAGCTCGGCTCGTGGGTTGCTCGGGCTAGTCAAATGATGAGCCCGAGCTCGAGCCGAGCGGGGGGTCGCGTCCAACGAGCCGAGCTGCCCACGAGCCGGCTCGTCCAAAAAAGTGGAAAAAAATAATATTTTATCAGTAAAATTTGCAAAAATAAAAAATAAATAAAAATTCACGAGCTCGCGAGCCACTCGTGGGCTCGGCCCGGCCCACAAGCTCGTGGCTCGTGAGTACACGAGCCCGAGCCGAGCTCGTGTGTTAACGAGCCGAGCCGGCTCGACTCGGCCCACTGCCATCCCTAGAAGCAGCCAAAAAATAGATTCGAGAAAACCCTAGAGACGTCCGAGGCCTTTTATAAGAGAGAGAGCCTTCATTTGATCCAACGATCTAAAAAGTGCCACTTCTCCATCATCCAGAAGAAGAGCTCATTTAAATTGAAAACGAACTTAACATTTGTTATTCCAGAATCTTCAATTTTATTGGATCACCGAATTGGGCCTCCAAGCTTGGACTATACATCTCAGTCCATTTTGATCAACTGGGCCACACAAAATTCAACAAACCATACATTACAACTGCCTATGCCAAATCAATGTTTTAATGACGAAGGACAGTACAAATGGTATTAAACTCATTTTTCGTTCTCATTTTTTAAAATTCATTTTTCTTCACAATCATTTTCAATCTCTCATTTTAAGAGATTCGCAACTTTTATCAATTTTTATCAAAATTTATTAAGGGCCTGTTTGATTTGAGAAATTTTCCACTTTTTTCCTTGTTTGATCGCAATAATTTTTTTGGCAATTAATTTTCCATCTCCCCCCGCCCCTCGCCCCCCCCACGTGACCTTTTTTCCTTGGTTTTGCGGAAAATCAATTCTCATGGGTTTAGTGGGAAATCAATTTTCCAACTTTTTTCAATATATATATTTTTTTGACAATGGAAATAAATTTTATCCACAATTGTAATAAATTATATCCATTTAATTGACAATTTTCATGGAAAATAAAGCCTAACAAATACCAAAATTTCAAAATTTTTCACGTGAAAAATTATACCAATCAAACATATTTAATTGACAATTTCTAGTAAAACAAATTTTAGACAATTTAATTTCTTGAAATTCGTTTTCTTTTCACTAAAATTTTATTCTTACAATCAAACGGACTCTAAATTATTATTTTTCCAAATCGAAAAAGACGAAACAAACAGACTCATGAAATAAAATAGCGGCCTTCACTGTTCACACTCAAATAAGAGTGGTATCCCACATCAATCTCAACACAAGTCAACGAAAAGAAACTTTTAGGAAAATTCTTTGTTTTACTCGGTTTCGTACAACGTTGTATTATAAGAACCCCACATCTAATCTTGCCCCTTCATCCCAACGAACCATCTCAAACTCTTTTCCATTCTCAAAAGTCAAAACACATACGCACAATGAAAAACAACAGTGATGAATGCCCACAATATTGGTTAACTATGCTACTCCAATCTGAAGAACCTGACTGGTACAATTTTCTCTCCACTTAATCGTCAATTCGTGTTCATGTCCGTGTTCCATGTAAACCTAATATTCATGTTCTGTCTTCGTTCTCGTGTTTAAAAATTATACTCATAATGAATATTTGCAGTTATTTGAATGAAGCATTTTCTGCATTCAGTGGTTCGAGCTCTGATCATGGAACAATGCCATCGATGGCCACTAAAAAGAGTGTTGATTCGGAGAGAAATAGAAGAAAGAATCTCAACGACAGGCTCCACGCATTAAGATCAGCTGTACCCAAAATTACAAAGGTGGCACATTATTTAAATAAAGACTTATAATTTTGTCATTCTGCCCTTTTTTCAAAAATTTTCTAAGTTCTTAAAAGACTTCATATTTTGTTGTAAATCATTTATCTGATGAACAGTAAATGTTTCATGAAATTCAGATGAATAAAGAATCGATAATCAAAGATGCCATTGATTATATTCAAAAATTACAAGAAGAAGAGAGAACAGTTCAAGCAGAAATATCAGATTTGGAATCTGCAGGGACATCATCAACTAGTAAAATTATTGGGTTTGATCATCAAGAGGAAAACTTTTATTCAAACCCGAAGAAAATAAGAACCGAAAATTTCCATGATTCTGGAGGATCAAGTTCATTTCCCATTGAAGTTCTCGAGGTAGGCTAATCAATTTATCTTCGTTTTTATCATAGCAGCTCATTCCGCTCAAGTTCTTAATGAGATGGCAGGATTATTAATTTGTTTAAATTTTGTCTTCAACCAGACTTGAGGAGAGGCCCAAGAGGCCTGTGCCTCAGGCCCAGCATTTTAGGGGGCCCAAATTTTTTTGGCCTTTTCCTTTTCATAAAATCCACTATGCCTAAGCCTTCAAAAGGGCAAACCTCTAGAGGAAGACCTCAAGAAATCTATGGCAAAATGAGAAATTAATAACAAAACCTAGATCGAAGAATGACAGTGGAGGTCGGAGTTGATGTGGTGGCCGTCGTCACTGATTCACCATCAACAATCCGCCTCTCAATTTTTCCACTCCTTTTTCTATTTCCATACTGTTTTGGTATGCTTAAATTTATTTTTCTTGTTTCTTTTACTTTTCTGCACATATACTAGCATCTCATATTTTCCTTTACCTAATTGATTTTTCGAAAAATGCTTTTTTAAATTGTTCATTGTAAATTAATCGTTGGTAGGGATTATTTTCTGTTTATGCAATAATTTTTCTTGTTAATCTAGTGTTGCAAACTAGTCACCAGAATGATTACCTATTTATGCATTGGCTTTTGTACAAAGGAACCAATTTCCAAAATCTTATAAAAAAAAATAAAAATTGAATAGCTATTTTGAAGATAAAAGGTCAAGCATCACTTGTGGTTGGAATGCATGAGGTGAAATGCATATACACTTATAACAACGAAAATTGATTCATTGACAAAGGTGGATAGGCTATCATTACTCAAATCACTTAATAATGGGCAAGACCTTCTCCTAATATGTGAAGCTTATAGGGCAAATCATCTTACTACTAAATTCCTATTGGTTACTACTGATCAAACATCGACTGAGCGAGTTGTTTAAGCCCAAAACTTTCATCGCCAAAAAATAGTACAATCAGTGTTGTAAGAATCATCCTAACCTCTCCTACAATACTTAAAATCTTTTGTATAATATATTTGTTCGTTGTTTTAATGTTAAGTTTTAAGTTAACAATATGTTGTATAATACATTGTTGATTTTTACATTTATGTTGATGTTGGGAGCCTAATTTATGGACTTTGCATTGGATCCCGACAATTACAAGACCGGCTTGTCTTCAACGCATCTATTGGATTCATATTTTTTTATCTGAAACCTGACTTGTGGTGCCGAAATTCATTATTAGCAGTTAAGAGTAACCAACATGGGAGAGAAGACTGTTGCAATTAGCCTCACATGCAGCAAAAGAACAGATACAATGGTAAAGCTCCATGAGATGTTTGAATCTTTAAACCTAAAAATCATTACTGTCAACATCACTGCTTTCTCGGACAGGATTTTGAAGACAGTATTTATTGAGGTAATCTCTCTTTCTGTCTCTCTCTCATGCAAATTTGTTCTTAAAAAATAAAAAATAAAATAGACCACACTAAGGGGGCATAATTTATTAATAATGAGTAGAAATAAAACAGAATTTAGAGGGGGCTCAACTTGGTCTCGAGTTAAAGGTACACACACAAGGCAATAATTTATCCCATCCGAAGACGAGGGTTGGGGAAAACAATGTAGAAGCTTAGAGTGCGTTTAATTTGTCGTTTTCAAGTCGTTCTCTGATTTTAGTTTTCAAAAATGTTTAAAACATATTTGGTTTGTCGTTTTTAAAAATACATTTTCGAAAACAAGAAAAAATTTATAATTGAAAACACAAAAGGAATTTTTTTTTTCCATTTTTAATGTTTTCAATTAAAAAACTCAAAACGAGGAAAATGCTGTTTTCTTTTCCTTTTTTCTTTTTTTTTTTCCTTTATCATCTAGTGAATGCTCAGCAATACTTTTAAAATAAAATGTTGTAATCTGATACAATTTAGTGAAGCATAATAATTTTAAAACCCACAAGATTTTTCAATTTTTATTATTATTATTTTTTCGTTGATCAAAATTTGGAATAACTATTATTTCCTTTTTTACTGTCTAAGTGACAACGAGATACATCCAGAACTATTTTCTTTACAACGATTCCTATTTTCGATCTATAAATTTATTATTTATTATTTTATTTTTGTAGCAAGAAAAAGTAGTAAATTCACAAAGTTTAAAATATATATTATCTGGTCATATATTAACATAAAATTATTATGTTTTATTAAATAATCAAATTAATTGGATAAATGTCATAAAACAAATTCTAAAAATTTTTAACCCAACACATTTTCTAGTTTTCTATTTTGAGAAACCGTTTTTCAGAATGACAAATTAAATACATTTTCTGTAATTCGAAAATAGTCCTTCAAAACAGAAAACTAAAAATGAATTTAAAACTGAAAATAGAAAACGAAAACGCAAACGCAAACCAAACGCTCCCTTAAATACTACATTTTTTCAGGTAACCTAACCATGCTCACAATCAAACTACAACTTGGATGGAATTAAATAACTTAATTATGGAACCTCAAATTCACGAAGTTCATAATTTCCTCACATTTAAAACCTTCCTCAATATATTCCCCTGCATTCGGAAAATTTTCTATACATTTCAATAACCAAACTCATGTTGTTCGTGTCATTATAATTTATTGTCGAACCAGCTAGATTGGTGTGCCCTTGCTCCATTATTGCTAAAAGACAACCATCCACGAGCTTTTCAAAAGTCCCAAACTCCAATACCTTACTCTTGTCTTGATTCTCGTCGGCTAGGTTAACCGAGTTGCCTTGAAATAATTCTCTAAGGAAAGTGCTACATGTATATAATTATTTATATAATGGTGTCCATAATTACACATGACACTCAATCCAACCTTTAATTCAAATTTCACACTTGCACATCAACAACCGGATGATTGCCACATCACATTATGGACATCATTATGTGCAATAATTATGTACAAGTAGAATTTTCCATTCTCTAATGGTCGATCCACTTTCTATTTCCGTTGTGTTCATATTTGCAACAAGAAAAATGACATGATTGGATCTCGTGGTGATGCATTCCTAGACTTTCTTGTTAATTTGTATAAGAGCTAGCTATTATTTAATTGCTGCTTGTTTGATATAGTTTTTACATTTTTTTCAGGCTGATAACGAGGAGATTGATGTTTTGAAGATAAAAATAGAAACAGCTATATCAACTCTGAATGGTCTGCACAACCCTAAAGTTACATATTTATATTAACGATTTGTCACCTAGTGCACGTTTGGCTTACTTAAAATAAGTTTAATTTACTTTTAAGTTTAGCTCACAAAATACGTGAGAGTACATGTGGTTAGACTTCCTTAAGGATTTCCATTTTCGCCAGAGTTGGGTAGCCTGTGGAAATGTAATTTGGCAGGAAGAAAATTTTCACATAAAAACTTTCTTACTTGAAGTGATTTTTTGTTTGGATTTTCTTTTTTCCTGTTTTAGCTCCAATATTATTTAACAGTTAAGTTGTTACCTATGAACGTGGAGCATTAACAGAACTAATTATGTTTATGACTCGTTTGTCTCGCTTAAAAGTATCGTTTTTCTATATAGTTATATATGTTTTAAATATTATAGAATTTATGAATGACTATTATACATTTACAGTTCTCATCATTCTAATCATTATGATGGTTGTATCCCTTGTAACTCTAATTTTTCTTCATAAAATTTCATTGGTTTCTCGCTTTTGTTCTCTTTTTCTCTTTGATTTATGATACGTTATTAGCATGATTCTCTCAAAATCAAAATAAATTAATTAGAAAGTAATAATTTGTATAAGCATAATCATCTGTCACGTGTACCAAAATTAATTTGGTGACATTTTTTTTCACATATGCATTATAATATTTTGCCTCTTGACTCCGTCGTAATCGAGTCTACCTCTTTTAACTCTGCCTCGTTATTCACATTTGTGCATATATGTCATTCGCGTTTGTCTTATTCACCAATATTTTCACAAGCATTCACATTTGTCTACATATCTTACCATGTCAAATTCAAGATAGATGTTCAGTAAGAAAGTGCAACCACAAGTGCACGGGTGCGTTCAAGTAATAAAGTGGATGTCGGGTCTGAGTTGATCCCTCGAAGAGTGTTTTTTCCAATTACACGATAATTATAATTAACGATAAAGATACGCAATTAATTTTTTTGAAGTTAGAAATGAAAAAAAAATTAATTAAACTAACAATTGTGAAAGTGGTAAGATTTTAGATTTTAAATGAGTTGGAATTTACGATATTGCTTAACCGTCGCTTCATTAATATCTCAATAAACTGAAAATAAAATAACCTAATGTTAGACCCGAATTTCCATTTTTAATTAGTTACTTCTCTCGAACGAAAATAACTCTAGTTAATTAGTTTTACCCACTATATCTCTATATTTATAACAACACAACAAACCGTATTAAATTGTAGTGAAAATAATTCAATGGGTCATCTAGGATTAGAAATATATCTCTATCCCCTAAAACAATCTATGGCATTAATTATTTTTATCTAGAAAGCTCTACAATCTCTCAATAATTGCACGAATCTCTTAACCCAATCATCTATTGGCCAATAAATGATGGAAATGTAGACACAATAAACAAATGCACAAAAACAATGGCAATTTTAACATTAAATATATTGATATTAATGAAATTTGGTCAAGCTAACTCATAAATCCCAACTTTAAACATTTAACCCATTACACAATAGAAATAAAACATGGAAATCAATATGAAATCCATTACAAAATGAGGGAGATAATGAAAAGATATAAAATAATAGAAAAAACCCGTCTCTTGAATGTACTTTTAAAGAAATGAAGGGCCATAATCCTGCTTTTTATTTTCTCATTCTTTCCCACTCTTCATTTTTCCCTCTAGCCTAGGGGTTATTTGTGTTTAAAGGGATGATAGATGGAATGAATTTAAAATGGTTGAAAAATGCATTTAAAAAGGGCACAAAAATCATCCCTGATAATTGCAAATAGTCCCTAGATTTTGAAAAACAAAATAAAACACCCCATTCGTAGCCGGGGTGCCTAGGCACCGA